ATTCATAGCATCAAAATCTGGTCCATAGGCCATGGCGTTCTCGTATGTCTACAACAGAGTTCGGGTCAAACCAGAGACTCGGGACGTGGACGTAACATTCGAGCATTTCGACCTCGACAGGTTATTTCCACCCACGCTGAGTAGCTGGTGGTCTGAACTTAGAAATGCGTTTCTTTGCTATGTATGCGATTGTTGCCCCCCGCCCCCCCTCCCCACCCCCAAAGTCAACTGCACAGTAAGTCTACTTCGACCTCCCTGTTGGTAGCGAGGTTTTCGTGAATGCCCCAGGCTGTGTGGTGTACGCCAGAAGCCCATGTCCACGTCTGTGACAGACCAGCGCCCTGAAAACTCGGCCACATCACCGCCGCTACAATATGCTTCCACACGGCACCGATGCCCGATCTTGTGCAGCGTGATCGTCCTTCGAGGTGGAAATTCGACAGCTTCGCACCATCCGTAAGAATTCGAAATTCTCGAAGTCGAACCTGCCCGGTTATTCCAGCCATCACCATGAATCTGGTTCCACAGCAACATGTTTTCATCAGCAACCGGGGTTTCACCAGCGTAACAACTCCTCGCAACATCGAGCGGGTAGGGTCCAAGATGGACGAAATTCATCTACAGCATCGAATCCTGACGCTATCACCTAGGAAGTCAAGCCACGGGTCGCCGCGAAGTTCCCGACAAAGGCCGCCAGGCGCCGTACCACAAAATAGGCTGGCCGCTGGCAATCTCTCGAGTGGCCATTCTCACCTCCGCCGGCGATGCTAGATTAGTGCGATAGCAGTCGACCGTCCACTGTAGCTTTCTGTGTCGAGCTTCTCCGGCACGTGAGAATTCAGTGTCAAAACCCTACCGTCACATGTCGAAAGTAGTTCTATACATATAGCCACTGGCTACGGGATGAGGTTCTGGTATGAAAATGCTTTGTCTGAAAATCCCGATATGTAGGTTAATCTGCAATGTAACTGACGCCCGCCAGGCTTTTCTCCGAAATGTAATGCAACGATGCACACATCCAACTTTGACATACTTCAAACAGTAGCTCCAAGCATGTGATGCGAAGAAACGCTCCTCATGTCTTGCATCGTCTTTCTGCGAAGGGCTGACACATTGTCATGCAGTTTCAGACATGGATTCGGCCACTTCAGCCACTACCATGTCAGCATGATGATAGAATCCAAGTCGTGTCCAGAAAAGCACAATGACCAGAATGACGCGGGAAGACTGCCTGTTGATGGCGTCCGTTGGCTGACCCAATTCCCCATTTCAATGGCCCAAAACTGAGGCTCGTATCGGCAGTGCGGGTTACACGACGTCAATAGTCTATTGACTTCAGCCAAGTTTGGGGGTTATCTGTGACTCTCGCAGTGCCGGGGACTCAGAAAGCAAAACAATGCACCAAGATCGCTGATCGGGCGCACAGGGAATAACACGAGCTCGCCCAACGTGCCTTAGCAGTCAACAAGAACAGCAAGATCAACATTGACCCCAGACCTGTTGGTCGAGAACGCCTCGTGAGTGACCGATCCACAGATCGACCAGCGTTGTCGCCAGAAAAGTACTTCCACAATGTATCCAGCAAAAGGAGTCTAGTGTCATGTACGGCTTGCGTGGATTGGGCTGACTTTGGCATCCCGTCTGAATTGGTCTGGTCATCATCAATGCCGGTCAGAGACCTGCATGTATATGCCAGTAAGCCGGACGCAAAGGTGGTCATGTACTG